TGAAATTAAGGCTACTTTCTTTCCTTCATTGGATTCTTTTTCCCTCTAATTTGCTATGCTTTGATTAAAAAGTATCATGTGATACTAAATTAAGAGCAAGAATGCTGCTTTATATTTATAATAGCTTATCTAAAGCATTAATTTTGTTTATTCATTATTAATCCTAAATAATTTTGGTTTATGAAATCCCAGCTTTGGCAGTAAACAGGCTTCCTCTGTACTTGATGATAATTTTGAGGAAAGAAAGGGAAAGGGAGACTGTTCAGTGGTTGAGTAAATGTGATTAGTTTTGCCAGTCTTTTGCCACTGACTCAACTTTTGTGTACTTCTTTTTCAGAGTTTGTACAAATGATGACAGCAAAGTGAAGACATTGTACAGAATCATGTTAAATTTCTTGTACAAAATTGTTTATTTGCCTTTTCTTTGTTTGTAACTTATCTGTAAAAGGTTTCCCCTTACTGTCAAAAAAATATGCATGTATAGTAATTAGGACTTCATTCCTCCATGTTTTCTTCCCTTATCTTACTGTCATTGTCTTGAAACCTTATTTTAGAAAATTGATCAAGTAATATGTTGCATGTGGCTTACTCTGGATATATCTAAGCCCTTCTGCACATCTAAACTTAGATGGAGTTGGTCAAATGAGGGAACATCTGGGTTATGCCTTTTTTTTAAGTAGTTTTATTTAGGAACTGTCAGCATGTTGTTGTTGAAGTGTGGAGTTGTAACTCTGCGTGGACTATGGACAGTCAACAATATGTACTTAAAAGTTGCACTATTGCAAAACGGGTGTATTATCCAGGTACTCGTACACTATTTTTTTGTACTGCTGGTCCTGTACCAGAAACATTTTCTTTTATTGTTACTTGCTTTTTAAACTTTGTTTAGCCACTTAAAGAAAATCTGCTTATGGCACAATTTGCCTCAAATCCATTCCAAGTTGTATATTTGTTTTCCAATAAAAAAATTACAATTTTACCCAACTGTTGCTCTGAATCTGAGTCATTTAATTAACTTCAGGTTGAATAATTTTGAGAGTCAGATGTGGAGGTGGTTTCTACTTGGTATAATTTAGATAAGTATTTTTTTTGACTATTCAAGATTGTGTTTAGTTTTTAAATTATGATACTTCCTTCAAAACGTTTAAGCAAAAGATTAAAAAACCTTTTCTAAGTGTACCTGGCATGGGAACTGGCCTGAGGTAGGTGTTCAGTGTTTCCTACCCTTTTTATATGTTTTTCAACTTTGGCTTTAGTTTGTCCAAATTGACTTCAGCCATGCAATGATTATTTAAATGTATGTGTTAAAACCACAACCGTCCAAATCTAGAGGTGAGGGTCATGTTTTTGCCTCTATTTCCTGTTTTCCTCATAAGTGCTTTTTAATTCTTATCGCGTAAGGCAAAGGAGGCTTTTCAGTTGTGCCTGCTTATCTGCAACATGTTGTACAAAAAAGGTATCTTTTAGGAGTGATTGGCAGTAACTAAATCATGCTTTAGTTTTTACTTGTTTCTAAACCGTTGCTTTCTCAGTAATTTAAGCCAATCAAAAGGTGGTTATCAGGGTTTTTGTTTTTTTAAATACTTAATGAAAGATCCCATAGCAAACCAGAGCCAAGATTAAAACATTCAGTGGAATTATTACCTGATTATTATAGCCACAAGGTTTTTCATTTTCCAGGAGGCAATTTGATTGGCAGGTTACTGCTCATCTTTGTTTTAATACTATTATTGAAAACAGAAAACTGGATGGTTAGTGAAGGAAAAGAGAAATATGTTTTAGATAGGACAAAGGAAGTTACACACATCGATAATCCTAACAGGTTATTACATTATTACGTATTAGGTAGGCAATCAGTTAAATAGGAAGACCTTCATTAGATGTAAGTTTAGTCAAAAGGAAGTCCAAACAAGGGTATTTGGTGGGAGAAGATTCATGTGTCTGGCTGTTGAGGCACAGGAATCTCCAGACTATTAAAACATGGGCTTTGGAGTTATTGCTGCTATTCAGATCACTGCTGTGTATAACCTTGAAGAGGTAAATGTTATCCAAGTCTCATTTATCTTAGCTGTAAAATGGGTATCATTTACCCAACTGGTTTCTAACTTGGCTTTATAATAATGAAAGTAAAGCACTTAGCATAGTCCTTGGCATTTGCAGTAAGTGTTCAATTGATATTACTGTGCTGTTAAACCAGTTATGACCCTGTAAAATGAGGGAATTGGGCAAAATTGATCTCGGTGTTTTTCCAGTTCCAACAGTTTGAAATTTAAGTTGCTGATAACAAGGTGAAAGGGGAAACACATTTTGGGGGTACTTTTGTGTGTCATATTAATTGACTTTATATTCTTGTAATCTTCACAAAAGTCACAAAGTAGGCATTATTTTGATTTTATAGGAAATTGAAGTATAGAGCAGTTTTATATAATTTAACTAGTCATATTGAGCACATACTGAGCTGGGTTCAAATCTCAGTTCTACTTCCTACAACATAATCTTCAAACCCAGGACTATAATTTTAAAACATTCAAATCTTAACCATATTACCTGTTTTATACTAGCAAGATCATGGAAATTGATAATTCTTTCCTCAGTACTATCTGTAGCATGTTTGCTCTCAGATAATTCTAACTAAAACCATCACCGTTGCAGTTAAAAATGATCCTAGGATGTGAAGTATTTTACCTAGAATTTTTATTAAAGATCTGATAACATAGCAGAGGCACTGTTGACCTCTACTTAGTATATATAGGCTTGTATTCTCGGAGAGAAATATCTTACCCCTTTTTAAAGCTGCAGTTATGATAAACTGAAAATAAATCTTAAACTTTTCTCTGATACTGCACAAGGCAATGTTTTCTTAAGAGGACATGTTGTTTTTCCTACATGCTTAAATCTGTTTTATTGGTCAAGTCCTTGAAATCATTGACCCATGCTGTTTCTATTTCTGAGATACTCAAACTATTTTCTTACCTAGATGTTCCCTTCTATTTCACACCTTGTATGGGTTTCTGGACTTCTCTGTACCTTTCATCATATTCTTTTAGTCTCTAGGGTACCAGTCCCTAGTCCGCTGAGCCAGTTTTACAGGCTCAGCCAAAATAAGATGAAATGAGGCACAGTGATGGACTTGATTAATATCTTACATTTGTGAAAACTCTAGTTTTTATTTGCCTCTTGACCTTATAATTTCAGTCCTTAATTTCAAACCCAGTGCCTGGTGGTGGTGGTGGTTTTCTATTTTTTTAAGGCTATGTTAAATGAACTTAGAATCCTAGTATTTTAAGAGAAATGGAGTCCTCTAGTCGCCTGCTACTCAAAAAGTTGCCCACAGAATCACCTGAGAGCTTGTTAGAAATGCAAATCTTTGTTCGTGCCCTAGAGTCTGAATCAAAGCCTGTATTTTAACAAGATCTTTAGATGTTTTGTACACATTAATTTTTGAAAAGCATTGCTGTAGTCCATTCTCTGGTTTTATTTGTAAAGAGGAAAACTGGTCATTTATTCAACAAATGTTTTAATCCCTCCTGTCTTCAAAGGGCTCAGAATGAAGACAAAAACCTATGTTTTGGATATGTTTAAAATTAGGGGAAAAACGATTTGTCTAAGTCCTCCAACAAAGATAAGCACAGGGTCCTTTGGGGTACAAGGGTTAGGCCTAGGAGGACTTCTCAGAGGAGTTTACCCTTGAGGTTTGCCAGGCCATCAAAGAAGGAAATAGCATTTCAAGCAGAAGGGCTAGCATATGGGGAGACAACAGAAGCGTGAAGATGGTATGTTTGGCCTTTATATGCAGGTATACATCAGAGCATGAGTTCTAATGAGGGAGAGGAAATGAGATTGTATTGTAAATTTTCCTTTTGTCCTAAAGACAGTGATAGTCCGTATTTACTGAATGCATTGTGCCTGACATGGTTCCAACATTTCACTAAGTTAATTTTCATAATCACCATGTGGGTAGGTGCCAATTTATTATCACCTTTATAGACAAAGAAGCACAATAAATCAGCAAATGCAGCCAGCGTTTAAATCCTGGTCCAAGGGAGGAGAGGGATTCAAGAATGAGGGAGTGGAGTGGAGTAATCAATGCAGCAATGACAAATGGAGGTCAAGTCTGATAAAAGCTGAAAAATCCCTCTTGGTTTTGGCAATTGGATCACTGGCTAGTTTAGCAAGAGCAATTTTAATTGAAAGGTGTGTGCACATGTCAGATTAAGATGGTTTTAGGAAAGTATGGGAGACAATGAAAGAATTGAGTTCAGATGACTTGAAAGTTTGTGAAAGGAAGCAGAAACCTCATGGTGTGGTGGACAGAGCAGTGCTGGAGTCAGACCTAGATTTGAACTCTGGCTGTGCCACTTCTGTGTGATGCTAAGTCAACTGTACTAAACTGTCCAAGGAAGCTTCTGTTTCCTCATCCATAAAATGGGGTTAATACCTACTATTAATGTATTTGAAGTATCTGGAACATAGCAGGTACTCTATAAAATGAAATTATTAAGGTTGAGGGGAGGGTTTGTTTTTAAAGATGAGTGTTTATTGGTTGAGAAGCTATAGCCAAGAGAGAGTGAAAGTGAAAAAGGCCTATACAGATAGGAAAGGGTGGTCCGTGGTTTCGTGCTCACTCCACTTCCCAAGTCAGCGGCAAGAGAAGTGACACTCCCAGAATTTCCACCTGGAGGAGCTTAGAAGCTAAACTAAGGCTGATTTTTGCCTTTTTAAAGCTAAGTACGCCTACCAAGTATACTGTCTCCCTGCCTGGGGATGATTGGGAAAGGGCTGATGGAGAGTCCGGTACGCTCAAGCGCTTAACGAGCCGCCCTTACAAGCATCCCTTGGTGCAAGTACTTACTTGAGGGCTCTCTGGCGACTCCAGAGGCCTCTAGATTTTCTTCCCACACACCTGCACGACCGTGTCGAACTTTTTCCTCTGCGCGAGGCTTCGCGCGGGGCTTCAAAGCGTGCGCCCACCTCCGTTCCGCGACCGGCGGAGACAGACCTGGCCGGTCCCCGCGCACGCTCGGAACCAGCGGGCCCGCGGCGCCTCCTGGCAACCGGACGCCGGCCTCGGCCTCGGGAGCGGGGAGGCCGCAATGGACCCGCCAGTCATCGCCGTCACCTCCACCTCAGTAAGGAAAGACGTGGGGCCTGGCGGTTCGGTGGTCTTGGCCTCGGCTCCCCTGTCCTCCCTTGGCCCCCCACTACTGTCCCCGTCGCCCGGCTCCTCCGCCAAAAATCCCACCTCTCTCTAATCCCCGGCCCTGGCACCTCTCCAGTTCTCTCTTCCTACCTTTCTCTTCCTTCCCTCACATCTACACCTGTAGTCCTTTCTTCCTGATCTTTGAGCTCTACTTCGTTTTGTTTTCTCTTCCCTTGCTACTCCCTTATCCTTCCCATTCGCCTTTTGTTTTCTGTATTTTTTTTCCTTCTTCCCTACTACTAATTGCGCTGGACAACTGCTTTAATAGGGTGATTAGATTTCTTTCGTTTTCCCGTCTGCCGAGAGAATGAGTTTTTCTTTCATTAGTCTATCGGACCCGATTTTGCCCTGCCTCCTATTTTAATATTTATAAAATATTTTAAACTACCTTTGTTTAGTTTTTAAATAAATTCGGGCGAGTGATGTTTAGCCTATCTTGTAAAGAGATTCACCACTAAGGAGAATTTGAAGTGGTAGATGGGTGGAGTTGAGATCACCTGCCTTGGGCAAAACAAAACAGCAGCTGCAGGTTACCTTCCTTTAGGTGCATCATGCTGACTTCCCCCTTCTCCTCGCCACCTTATTTCCCATCCTAGGTAGAGGTGGGAGACCTGGCTTGACCTGCCTGAGACAGTTCGATTTCTGTGACTATAAATTTGCAACGAGGAAGATTCAACATAAATCTAATAAAGGGAATGTATAGGAAGAAATTCAGATTTTAGCAGCATGTATGAAACACACTTTTGTTTTAAAGAAATGCACATATTTCATAGTAAAACTAAAGCCCAGGGGTACTCATAAGTAAAGTGGATATAAGTTGCTAGACAGGAAGAATGAATTATATCAGTTTTACTGACTAGATTGTTTGTTTTTAATGCATTCTTGCTTGAGATAACCCATATTTCTTAATAATAACAAAAGCATTGTAAATGAAACTAGAACTCCATATTTTAAGATTTTACCTAGTGGAAAGAACACAAAAGGAGAAAACGAAACAACTGTGTTCTGTTGAGAGAGGCTAAAACAAATGTGGAATAATAAAAATAGGTATAGAGTACTTACTATTGAAGATGAGAGCGTCCTTGGAAACTGAGGGATACCAAAATAATCTGCTTCTTAGCTTGGCAGATGAAATGCTCAAAATAGAAGCTACCATTTATTGAGCACTGGTTTTGGGGTGCAAGTCTTCATAAGCACAATGCCTGATTCTCGTGCCAGCCCTGGCGGTACCTGGTTTTTATACTCCTAAGAGGAAGCTGAGGCTGGTGAGGGTTAAGTGACTTGCCTAGTGCTCCTAGCTGGTAAGTGGCAGAGCTGGAGATCCAGCCCAAGTCTGTCTGATTCCTCTAAGATTTTGCCTCTTCAGTGTCACAGCAAGCTGGGCAAGCTGAGAGAACTGGCTGTATCATATTTGTATGATAGATATTTGATAGTGTATATAAGGGCAAGCTGAGAGAACTGGCTGTATCATATTTGTATGATAGATATTTGATAGTGTATATAAACCTAGGAAATGGCAGTTTTCAACATTTGCCATATTGCCGGGAATTTGTATCCCAATACATTAATTTGATGAGTGTACACTTTTACCTTAAGCTCTCAGCACCATCACCTGAGCCGTAAATCTTAATAACAATGATAATAATACAATTTTGAATTTACACAACTCTTTTCTTCCTAAGAACACCAAATTTGGTCATTGCTAATTATCCTATGACATCTCTGTGAGTTGGGGATATTTATTACTCTAATTTTCCCAAAGAGAATTTAGATATTTAAAAAGCACTTAAGATAATAAAATAGCAATTTAAGGAAATATTACAGGCAAAATTTATCATTATGTAGCTTTTATCTTAATTCAGGCTGACCAATTTGGTGCAGGTATTAATTGCTTCAAGTAAATGTTTTATAAATTATATTTAACTTCCAGGGATCACCTCTCAAATGAATAAGAATATTTTATGTTTGTTAATAGAAACTAACTCGGAAGACGTCATCTTTTGAAAGAGAAGGATGGTGGAGAATAACATTAACAGTATGTGAATTTTTATTCTTTCCTACTTAAATTATTCTTATTCCCATTAATATTTTAAGCAGTTGGACCTTTTAAGTCACTAACACTTTTTGTAAGAAAAACTTGTTTTTCTTTTTACAAAACAGTCGTTTTTCTTTCTACAAAGAAAAAGTTTTTGTAAGAAAATAGTCGTTCACATCTACATGGGAGTTATTTCATACTTATAGTTTTAGTATCAGCATATGAGTGATATGTTAGTTACTAGAATGATCACTAGAATGATATTCTAGTTACTTTACAAAATATCTGGATAAGATCAACCTGGTTTATGATCCTGGTGAGATTACACAAGGAAGAAAAAGCACACATTCTGGAAAGGTGTTTGGGTTTCAGTTTTTATCTTACTTAGATGGCACAGAACCTATGGTAACTTTTGTTAACATGGTTAATGTATGGAAGCAAGATGGTAATATATGAAAGAAAAATGACCAGAAGTTTCCCCTCTCAAGAGACAGTTTCTGTATTGCAGAAATATTTTTCTGTCAACACCCTTCAATAACAGAGGGGCCCCATGGGCCAAAGCCTTCTTGGAATTAAACTAATTTTAGTGGTGGAACTGAGCTGAGTGCTCAATGGAAAGATGGCCACAAAAGCAGCAGTGACTAAACTTGCGGGTCTGGCCATTCAGCCACATTGGGGCTGTGATTTGAAAGTACCAAACCTCTTATTGGTCTAGTTAGATTGTATGCTCTGCCAGTTCATCCTCAGTCTCATGTTATTATCCGTTAGCTGCCCACTTGAGGGCTAGAAAGGAACATGTAGTATCTACTAAGCAGAAGAGGATAATTTCTATTTAGTCAAGAAACTTAATCCTGAGTGGTCTAGAGGCCTGAGATTATAATCAAATTGAATCTCAGGTTTAAGTACCTCTGAAGCTACTTTTTAAAAAGTTGAAACTTCAGCTATTGTCATAACCCATTTGCTATAATTTAACAATTGTCTCAGAAAGGGAATAATCACAATTCTCTTGAAATATTGTTCTGTCAAGAGTGTTTACTATGTTTGATAGAATTTTATTAAACTTTAAAACAAAGAGTAATGCTACTTAGGAGTGCCCTTTCCAAGAATGATACTTTAGGAGATGTTACAGGTTTACACACTGATCTGAAAAATGATGTCAATTTTCCACAGAATACTCCTATCCCTGGCACTTACCACTTGAAAACTTTTATTGAAGAATCCCTGTTAAATCCAGTGATAACAACCTACAATTTTAAAAACGAAGGAAGGCGAAAACCACCTCTTGTGCAAAGAAACAATCCGGTACTAAATGACCTTCCCCAGTACATGCCTCCTGACTTCCTGGACTTGTTAAAGAAGCAAGTGGCCACTTACTCCTTTAAAGACACACCGCGGCCAAGCCCCAGCACGCTGGTTTACAAAGATAAGGTAAAGTGTTCCTAGCAGCTGGGTTTTTGTGGAAAAGCTACCAAGAGCCCCTGAGGAAAATGTTTTATATACTTAGAATGTATCTTCTCCAGGAGAAATTGAAAACCTTTAGGATGCCTTATTTTCTACAGAAACCAAACAAGGGCTGCCTAATTTGCAAATATGTCCAGCAAAATTTTTCCCTGTGAGGCCTCCTTAACCCAAGGAGAGTACATGGGGGAAAATTCTTCCCTCTCCGGGGACTCTTGGCAGGATTCCCCCGACTTGGGGAGCCTCTGGGATCTTATCTGTGATCGGGCCATACTTCTGGTTTCTTCAAGCAGTTTATACACTGTATTCTCTTCTTTTAAAGAGAAAACTCTGCCTTTTGGTGAGGAATACCCTTATTAGAGCATGAATACAACTATATATCACAGAGAAGCTTTTTCAAAATTTTCTTGTGGAAATGAGCACTATGGTACCGGGAGCCTCAGGCTCTACTCTCAGCTCCACCAGTTCATTCATCACATTGATGATATGGAGCACTGCTCTGCTGCCAGCCCTGTGCTAGGTTCTGTGGAGGGACTGTGTTCCGGACTCGGAAATATTTAAGTAGTAATACAAGAGCAAATCTATCAAGTGCTGTGATAAATAGTGCAGCAGGAAATGCCAGGGGAGAGTTCAGTGTAGGCTGGACTGAAAGGCTGGAAGGATCCCTGGATTAAGTAGGACTCAAGCTGGCCCTTGAATAATACATGACATTATGTGGCTTTTAATAGTTTCCTGTGAGCTTCCACGTAGATTCTTTCAGTTGTTCTTCCCAAGCATTCTGAAATAGGCAGAACAGACGGTATCCCCATTTTACATTCAAGAAAACTGAGGTGGATAGAGACTAAGTAACTTGTTCAGAGCACATAGCTAATAAGCTAATAAGTAGGTGAGGCAGTGCTTTTTTTTTTTTTTAATTGATGTTTTAATAGTTTCTAAAATTGTGAAATTTTGGGTTATACATTTTTGTTTGTCCATCACCATATATATGTCTCCCCTCACCCCTTGTGCCCACCCGCCACCCCCATTGCCCCTGGTAAGCACAATACAGTTTTCTCTGTCCATGTGTTGGTTTATATTCCACATATGAGTGAGATCATACAGTGTTTGTCTTTCTCTTTCTGGCTTATTTCACTTAACATAATACCCTCCAGGCCCATCCATGTTGTTGCAAATGGGACGATTTTGTCTTTTTTTATGGCTCAGTAGTATTCCATTATATATATATATATACCATGTCTTCTTGATCCAATCATCAGTCGAGGGACACTTAGGTTGCTTCCACTTCGTGGCTATAGTGAATAATGCTGCAATGAACATAGGGGTGCATAAGCCTCTTTGGATTGTTGATTTCAGATTCATTGGATAGATTCCCAGTAGTGGGATAGCTGGATCATAGGGTATTTCTATTTTTAATTCTTTGAGGAATCTCCATACCGTTTTCCATAGAAGCTGCACCAGTTTGCATTCCCACCAGCTGTGTATGAGGGTTGTGAGGCAGTGCTTTTAACTGAGGGCTCTGAGCCCAAATTCGGTGCTCTTTCCAGTCTGCCGTGTGCCTCCAGCCTTAAATGAGGAGCAGGGTTTGGATGGGTGGAATCTAAGGGAGGCATTTCAAGGGAGGGGCATAGCATTGTCGAAGGCCTGATCAAGACAGATTTGTGACTTGGATTTTCTTACCTGGGACTTTGGGCCTTAATATCTCCCATTTATAATGAAGCTAGTAATAGTATCAATCTTCACAACCTTATCAGAATATTGTTGTGACAACTTGAAGAGAAATGCATTATGGCTGGAGGTTGAATGAAATACAAGGGGTTGTGGTTATTAGGATGGACAAGAAATTTTCAGCAGGATGGGCACATGTCGTATCCAACATGTAAGCCCTTCCTACTGCTTTGCAAATTATAGCTTTGAAACAGGGCAGAATGATAAATGTTCATGGGGTAAATCTTGTCCTTGTCACTTCGGTGGATGAATGACAGACACTAAAGTACACTTAGACTTTTACAGTTGGGTATCAGGTAACCATGCTATATGTGTCATCATCCTGGCCACCTCCACTGCAAAATCATTCTTCCTCATTCTCCACCACCATTTACTTCCCTTCTGCTTCCTTTCTTCTCACTCTTAGGGGTTTCTGAGGGTAGGCCAAGGCCCACTGTTGAAAGGAGAAAACAGAGAAGGTCATTAGGCAAAATTTAAAGCTTTAAAAGACCAAAAGAATTTGACTTACCTGGAAGAATGGATGAAACCTTCTGAAAACATATGTTTTCTGTTTCTTTCTTTTCTTTCTCCTCTCTCTCCCCACCTCCCACAAAGGATTGAGCACCAGAAACTGGAAAAATTAAGTGCTTTCCTAATTTTCTTTTTCAAAGGTATATGATAGTATGTTCACAAGAGGAGAGATATTCAGATGTAACATTGTTGATTCACCAGTAACATTCATAATTCTGGTTTCTGAAAAGCAGAACTCAGTAAAATCATAACTGGAATTTGAGGTAGATATTGTATACATTATTGTTATTTATTAAGATAGAGCAACATTCTCAAGCTTCATAATTTTTAATAGAATATTTACTTTATACCTCATTAGTGCTGCTTTTTATTTGTAAGAAAGTTTTTACTATTTTTAACACCTCTATTCTGAAGCAAGTAACTCAACTGGAGAATCTGTATGAAAGAATCTCATCAGATATATATATATATATATATATATATATATATATATATATATATATATATATATATATATATATGTGTGTGTGTGTGTGTGTACATATGCTCATCTATATCTGGATCTTTCCAAAGATTATTTGGGATGGGCCCTACAATTTTTACAATAATTTTTGTTTTACCAGAGAAACAGTACATTTTTTTGTTTTTGTTTTGGTGAGGAAGATTGGCCCTTAACTAACATCTGTTGCCAGTCTTCCTCTTTTTGCTGAGGAAGATTGGCTCTGAGCTAACATTTGTGCCCATCTTCCTCCATTTTGTATGTGGGATGCTGCTACAGCTTGGCTTAATGAGCCATGTGTCGGTCCACACCTGGGATTTGAACCTGTGAACCCTGGGCCACCAAAGCAGAGTGCGCAAACTTTACCACTACGCCATCGGGCGGGCCCCGAGAAACAATACGTTTTTATCATAGAATGTACGTACAAAAGTGGGACCATCTCTCTCCATATATATAGTTTTATAACCTGGTTTTTCCCCAGTGTTGCAGTCATCCACTAACCCCTGGCTTACTCCCCCTTATTTCTGGATGATTTTAGCTCCCTTCGCTCCGTCACTCTTTTCACTACTCCCGTCATGATTTCAGTACACGTGTAGATGATCTTCCAGCAATCTGGCTTTTCAGTTTTTTGAACTCTCCTCTACCTCAGCCACTTACTCCTTAGATTTTTTCAAGACCAATCATTTCAGCTGTCCATAATCTCAATTGCATGCTTCCCACTCTGATCACTCTCTCCTAATCTTCTGTCTCACTCACTCTAGTATCCCAATCCCAATAATTTTTCCATTCACCCCAGTCTATAATTTGTTGATCCCACCTTTCACTGCCTCTCAACTCTGATGTTTTCCTTCCTTGCAAAGCTTAAATTCCATAGTTAATCATTAGAGTTACTCCCTGCACACGCCCTCAATTCCCTTGCCCCTGATGGCTCACGTTACTTGTTTGGCAAAGCCACAAGCCTGGTTAAATCTAACTCGCTGGGAACTTTGTATCTGCACCCATGTAGCTGAATGAGTGGTCTCATTTTAAATTCTTCACCTCACATGGGCTCTGAACGGACTTCCCTGGCCTGTTTACTCTTCCACTCTCCTGGGTGGCTTTATCTCATATCTCCCCTCTTTCCAAACCCCTGACACTTCCTCCTCAGTCCTCATTCTTGTTTTCTTCTCTCAGCCTGTTTGCTTCTCCCAGACCTCTTCACGTGGCAGGGCCCCAGACACTCAGACCTCTTCCCCATCTGCACTCACTTGCTTGGCAATCTCATTCAGTCTCAAGGCTTGGAACACCATCTATTTGTTTGTGATTTCCAAATTTATATCTCCTGCCCAGACTTCTCTCTGGATCTCCAACTGCCTTTTGACTTCTCCACTGTGTGTCTAATTCAGGGTTTCTCAACCTTGGCACTATTGACATTTTGGACAGGATCCTTCTTTGTAGTGGGGGCCTGTTCTGTGCTTTGTAGGATGTTTAGCAGCATTCCTGGATAATTAGATGCCATTAGCTAATTAGGTGCCATTAGCAATCCCCCCTTCCAGTTGTAACTGTCTCCAGACATTGCCAAATGTCCCCTGGGGGGCGAAAGAAAAAACAAAAAAACAAACCAAAAAAAACACCTGCTCTTTATTGAGGACCACTGGCTTTGTGGTGGTGGGTGTGGTCTCAGAGTGGTTGTTCTCAGGGTCAACAGGTTTATTGTGAACTGGCTTCATTTGTGACCTCATCTCTTACTACTTCCTCTCACTGTCTTCCTGCCCCTCTGGCCTCCTGGCTGCTTCTTGAATTTGCCACTCCCACTCCCACCTCAGAGTCTTTGCCCTGGATCTTTCTTCCAGAATGTTCTTGTTCCAGATTAGCATGGCTCACTCTCCTTCTTCAAGTTTTTGTTCAAGTGTCACCTTCTCAATGAGCCCCATTTACGTTGACCGTCTGACGCTCCTGACCTTCCCTACCTGCTCCTATTTTTCTTTCCTGAGCACCGATAGCTATCAATATCCTATAGAATTTACTTGCACTTCGCATTTGTTATTTGTTGTCTGTCTCCTCCCATGAGAGGGAAGCTTCATGAGGACAAGAATACTTATCTGTTTTGTTCATTGTTACATCTTTGCCTCTAGAACAGTGTCTGATGGTTAATATTTGTTGAATATGTGAATGAATTAATGATTGCTCCAATATCTGAAATCTGACTGAGCCTTACCCAATTTGTTTCCTTGTATGTGTGATTATCTTTCACGCA